TTGACTAGCTTCTGAGAATTGTTTGTCAAGTGTAGTTCAGATCTCCCATTAGTCATACTAATGTTTACCCCACTTTTTGTGAAGTTGCATTGTTCTGTGGATGCATAAATTGTACAAATAGACTCTATCAATAAAAACAAATTGTTGTGCTATTTATAAACATTTTATTTTCAATTTTGTATGTTGAACTTTTTCTTTGAATGCACACAATTATGGGTGCCTTGTGCAAATTATTTTGTCTGTGCATGCTAAATGTCCTCTTTATTGTCTTTTCCATATTCCTTATGTAATAAAGGTCAGGTTTGTGGAAATTAATTTACAGGCTTTAGGGAGTTTCCATTACACAATACAGTGTACAAGAAAAAGTGGCCCCCAACTTATGTCCACCATTTTGTACATGTTTACAATATTTTAAATAAAAAACAAATCAACTTACATGTACATTGTAAAACATATTAAAAGTATTCTCAATGTGACAAATATCTCAAGGCAAAAGACCGAGCTGTCCAAACGTGAATGGCTCATGCAGACTTTTATCTGAATAACCCATCTAATAATCATTAGTCTGAACTATCGGTAGAGTAGGAAATTAACGGGCCGACAAAACGTGCATTCATAAAGCACACACAAACAACCTCTCGCAGACTGCCGATCAATATATTATGATAATCTCCCCAGGTCCAGTCATACTGCATCATCGAACAGAGTGCTGCGCATGCCCACACACTCTGCAGCCTAACCACAAGAGAGCAGTGTATACAGCAGCATTCAAACCCATACACTGTCTTTCCTCTACCTTGCATGGCTGGATGATATTAAGGAAGGCATCTTCAGTGTGTGTGTGTGGTTATTTTTTTATCTTCTCCGCCCGGACTAGCCCGGCTTACGGCCTAGCATACTACAGGTCAGGTGTGGTAGTTAGTGTCTGTAGTCCAGTCCTTTGATAACGCAGTGTGTTATATTTGTAGTATTGGGCCGTGTGCGTGAGAAGAAAGCTTGGCACTGGAAATAATCAGACAGAGGAAAACATGTATTTGAGTGGAGTGCAGTCTTGCAGCATTGCCTGTGTGTGGAATGAATGCCACACCCCTCTCAGTGTGTGTCTGTACGTGCGATACCGAGCAGCGTGCATGGCCTCTTTCAAGGAGGCTGCGACAGCCATCAGTCCTGAAAGCACTTGGAAGAGGCATTTATATCATACTGCCCCATATCTCCTGCTGGGCAAGTCAAGGCTGAAGTGGATGTATTCCAGACTGAAACCAGTTTATTATTATTCTCCACATGCGCTGTTCTTTTTGTGAAAAAAAAAAACTGGGCCATGGGGATAGTGTATTGAGGCTGCGCAGCTGTGGTGTACCCTTATTGTTCATTCGGCCTGCACGGACCAAATGCACAAAGAAAGCCCCACACCTTTTGCCAGTTTGAAGGAAAGAATAATAATGGGTTGATGTTATTCCATAGCTTGTAATGTGTTGATATAAGAACTTATAAATAGATTTGTTTTTCCCCTTTTGTGATCCGTCCCTGCACTGTAAATATTGCTCAATGGATGGCGTGTTGGGTGGGCATATTTTGTTTCAGTAATACTTGAAAATGCACATGTGTGTGCATATGTTATCAACATCAGCGTGTGTTTGTGCTCTAAAAACACAGATGATTGTAAAATGTATGCCGATGTACAATTTGTCCATTGTACAGTTGTCGACAAGGAGGAATCTATGTAAAATAATTTGTTCAAGATCGTTCCAATTGTCGGAACAATTTCCCTCGTCACTAATATGAGTAAAACATTTGTATCCGCAATGAAATGAAAGTCGGTAAATTATGAAAGTCTATTTTATTATTTTATTCCATTATATCCTCTTAGTCTGTTGTGATGGCCATGTTTTTCCCATGGTTGCATCACAATGAAAATACAATATGTGTCTTTTGGGTTCCAGCCTTTTTTGATTTTCAGTTCCTATTCAAATGACATAATATTTGGTTTACAAATAAATGACGTACATGTACATACTTGTGCATGTATACGTGTATTACGGGTATTTGGAATTCTTTTTCCGATCCAAAAATTGAAAGTATACATATAAGGAGCATACTGAACTTACGTGTACAAAATGTACATGTATGTACCGGTACACAGTTTTAAGTAGGGCTGTGCATCGCAACCGTGTACCCAAGTACCCGACCATTGATGTCAGAAAGTTGTTCCATACTGCAGTTTATGGGTTCGGGTACCGGTCCGTAACCAACTTTACAAATTACATGGTAACTTCTCAGACAATTCAAAAAAGTTTTGAATGTCATTTGTGGGGAATTCTCAAAAACAACCTAACCAGGAATAATACGTTGAAACACAAAACAAGTTTCACATTGATGACGTTCGCGAAAGTTGCAGTTTACACCGTAAAGGTATAAAAAAAAAGCTCACTGTACACACTTGTATCTTGTATCTTGCTGTATTGATGCACTGATGTGGTGGTATTATCGTGCAGACCTTTGTGAACAATCGGGATAGCAACTTCCAAGATTTGAATTTGAGGGTTGAGTTTCTTAAACGGGTGTCAGAGTACCCATGTTTTTATTTCAATCGGGTACCTGGTTCCCGTACTTCCCTGTAAATGCACACCCGTATTTCTAAGATGTGCATACATCATGTGTGTTTTTGTACTATTCTATCCAGAGAAGGGTGTCAACAATAACACATGTACATGTACATGTACCGGTATGTACATGTAGATTTATATCCAAGACCTCTTGGCTAAGTAGATTCAAATGAATTCTCATAATAGTTTTTAATACGTACACATGTACAGAATATACACATACCGGTACCTGATACATTGCACATGTGGTTTGCAAATTACATTATGGAGTGGTTATTGATGAAGAATTTTTCTTTTCTTCCAACATGTGAAACATTAAACCTGACATTTGAACCCGTGCATGGTGTTACTGCAGGGCTCCAAGCCTCCTGCAAAATGTGCCCGTTCTGGCTTTGTGTATATTTATACAAACTTGACTTTCAGGTATCAATCATCTTGAACTGGTAATTGAAGTCACTCCTCAGAATTCCAAACATCTCTTAAAGTTACATTTCTCGATGCTGCTAGTGCATGACCTGTATGGGCATCTAAAATACAAGTCGAAGCGGTAAAATATTTCAAACGTTCTCATGCACTGGAGTCATATCGGCATTGTGGATTCAGTCTGTGGGTGTATAGGAAACCCCATTCCCGTGTTAAATTCCGGTTTCAAATGACGAGAACCAACACGCGAACGGTGTTCCCAAACACGAGAAATGGGGTTTTAAATGACTAGAGCCAACACAATGGTGTTCGCGAAGAGGATTTTCACTACCCAGTTATCTGGGAGTAGATGTAGAACATCAAGAACAAAGATGGCGGACCGCGACTTGCGTTAATTCTTTGAGCATAAAATTTAAAGCACTCTCCTGCAGGACCAGTATGATAAAAAAAAAAAAAAAAGTATTGTACACGTTCATAGAGTGGGCTTTGTCTTTGCCAACATTTATCGCTGTTCCGGGATTTAAATTATTTTCGTCAGATCATTACTTTCCCTTCTTTTCATTTGGCGTTTTGATATATGGCAGCTGCCATATTGAATTTTCGCCCAGCTGCGCTCCACACGCACTTGGGCGTTGGTAATCGGCAGCCTGAGAACAGTGCTGATAGCAGGTCACTCAAGAACTTGATGTTGAATACACCCTGTGTGTACCTGGTATGAACAAAAGATGATGCATAAGTGTACATGTCTGTGAGTACATAACATGTACATTTGTACATTCAAAAGCCTCTCATTGGTCCACATGTTTATTCCACAAAATTTCGCACAACTACAGGGTAATGTCATTCTGAATGCTCACAAACCCGTAGTGTCTTCGTCATCGGCAATGTGTTCCAGTGTCGCTTCAGTTGGTCTCCCCAACTCTCCCTTTGTAACCGTTGAGGGGGTAGTTGTGCACAGAGTCTATTGGTCCACAATTGCTACTCTGTTTTGAATTACGTGTGTTTTGTTATGGAATTGTATGAAGAACTTGTCTGTGACAAAAAAGCAAGTTGTTTTTTTTTTGGGGGGGGGGGGTGAAAACACACAAAAAAGCCACTGTAGGACTGAAATGTTCAGTGCAAAGTATTTTCACCTGCCTTGATGCAGAACTTGGTTTAACAAGCAAAAATTGGTATTGTGTCTTTACAGTGATTGTTTAATTATAGCAACTTTTGCTGTGAAGTGCATTTTTGGTGGGTTGCATTACGACAGTGTCTAGCTGTGTACATGTACATGTACATGTACACATACATTTGTGTACAAGAAGTTGTACAGGCTAGCTTTATTAGGAAACCCTTTTGCAGCAGACTAGATATTGATCAGTTGTAACGATTTGTTTAGAGATCAATGGAATTCATTGGTCTTTATACTGGCGTATAAAGCTTTCTTAACTACATGTACCTGTTCTATTTTGTTCATGCCCGAATTCATTAATCCAGTTATTCACAGCCAAAAGTACATGTGGTAACATCATTTGAATAAAGGTGAAGCAAACCTGTAGTAGGCATGGTGGACTTGCACAATACATGCATCATTAACTGGCCCTACATGTAACTCCCTAGGCATTTTTGCTATAATGCAACCTCAATCCTGCAAAATCCTCCATTACCTACGGTACCGGTATCTTGAATGTGGTCCTTGGAGGGGTGACCATCACTGCCTCAATCCTGCAAAAAACGTTCTTTTCACATTTCACTTTCAAGGGATATATCAAAACACTATGTAATTAAACAGTACATGTACATGTACGGTAGCTGGGCTTATACATTTGTGTATCCTTACTAAGTCCTGCAAAATCCTCCAAAACATCCTGGTGATTTTTTAATTTTTATTTTAAACAGTCAAATTTGTTGGACTTTTTATGTTATTCTCAGTGATCCGCAATATCGGTTTCCATTTATTTTTAATTTTTCTTGTTTTGTGTGTGTGTGCAGGTTTTTGGGTGGAAAGAGAGCCAACACAATGGAAAGGACACGCCTACTAAGTGTTGCTGTCTGCCTTCTTGCCCTGACAACTCTTTCAATTGCACAAGGTAAACATCCTTACAATATACATGTATGTTTGTTACTTAATTTACTGAACTTTCTACTATACAGTACAGTTAGTCCATATATTTTATTACTTTCAGACATTGTAAATGCTTTATTTATTTTGGGAGTTTTCTCTCAAGGAATTAATGATATATCGAATTGTCATTCCTTTTACTGAATTGTTGAGTTTTGTCTTTCGTTTTGTTTACGTACACATGTGCAGAATTATCAGGATATCGTTTGTATCATTTGATAAGTTTGTCAAAACAATCTTCAAAGATTGGCCTATCTTCAGCACAGTCTCTAATTTGTACACCTACAAAGCAATCAAATAATCTTTGCTGTTTTTTTGTTAGTGGGTGTTTATTTTATGTGTCTCCAATGATCAACCAATAAAGTTGTACTCAAGCAAACGGTGTGCAAATCTCTGTAATACCATACATTGATGCATAGCATATACCCCAGTGCAAGTGTAGTGGTAACAATACAAAATGGTTCCCTACGGGATTAATCACATGTACATGTACCATTGGGCTGTCTATCACTTAACCTGGTCCTTTTCCTACAGTGGGGATCCAGATCCTGTCACTCTACCCTCTTGCATATTTGAAATTGAATCACCTGTCAAGGTGGGGGATTTTTCTCAGTCCTGGCATTTTCTTGACTTCAGCAATGTGGCAAGTTGTCATGGGAGTGATGGGACCACACTTCTCTCAAACCTAGAACAAATACTGGTAGAAAGCTTGGGTGCACTTTCAGTAACCTCATATTAGTGTGTTTGCTACCAGTATGCATACATGTGCAACGTGCGCAGACAAGAGAGGGCACTTTTTTATCAGTTTCGAGAGCCCCTTGGATGGAACACACATAGCGCAAATATGCACGGGACGTACGCATTACTTTCTTTATTCTGAATACGTCTTCACTTGAGCATCAGGCGTCTTCAGCAATGCGTGTTCAAATGTCTCTCCCAGTACAGGGCCCAATTTCACGGCGCTGCTAAGCAAAACATTTGCTTAGCACAAATAAAGTCTGGCTTATAAAAGCAGGTTACCAGCCAAAACTCCATGTGATTTTCATGCTAAGCAAACAACAGCTGAATACTAGTCCTGAGCAATATACATCACGTGGAGTTTTGGCTGGTAACCAGCTTTTATAAGCCAGACTTTTTTGTGCTAAGCAAATTTTTGCTACCAGTATGCATACATGTGCAACGTGCGCAGACAAGAGAGGGCACTTTTTTATCAGTTTCGAGAGCCCCTTGGATGGAACACACATAGCGCAAATATGCACGGGACGTACGCATTACTTTCTTTATTCTGAATTCGTCTTCACTTGAGCATCAGGCGTCTTCAGCAATGCGTTTTCAAATGTCTCTCCCAGTTGGTCTCTCCCCCCCTCCCCCCCCCCCCATCTCTCCCTTGCTTACGGTTGAGGGGGTACAAGTTTGCGTTTGGAGCCTACCGGTATGCCGGGTAGAAATGCTCCAAAATACACTTTACATGTACATGGGCAATTCCACGGTTACTCACGTTACGAAAATGTAACGTGAGTAACCGATTTTGTGCGTCTTGTTTATCATACATAACACATTTTTCTGGATGTCATCTTTGGTGCTTAGGTAGGTCTAGGTCTACTCTATCTACCATGGGGATAACAGTTAATAAACCTATTCAGTATGGTAATTACAGGCCAAGGAAACTCAAAAGTACATCAAAAATGTAACGTGAGTAACCGTGGAATTGGCCACATACACACATGCGTACAGTGTACATGCAGGAACCAACTTTCAATGCACACCAAGTCCCATTTCAAATTAGAACCTCCAAACTCCTGGGAAGTTGAAAGAATCTGAGAAACTTACTTGTAGGTTTAACCATGGTTTAACCTTATGTTTTTATGTACACAAAATTATAGTTGAAGCTGTTGTAGCTGATCCCAACAACATTACATATGGGCATTGGTTTTATTCTGGGATTGTGTTTATCCGAGACCTTTATTTCTACTTATTGTATTGAAAACAACATCCCATTTCTTGGTTCAAGTCAACAGGCTGCTACAGAAATGATTAAGGAGCTAAATCATTTGATAAGTTGTCAATTATTTGTGTGCAAGGAGTTGTGAAAAGCAAAACAATTTGAGCGATTCACAATGCAGTGCGCCACCAAGAGTTTGCCACGGAGAGTTCATTTTTCCCAGTGCATTGTGGGAGATGGTCGACAAATTTGCAGCGCATGACATTTGAAATTATTCATTTTTCCAGTGTGGAGTTTTGTAAGCTTATGATTCGAGTATCTGTTTACCCTTTTCTTTTCTCTTCATCAATAATGGTGTTTTTTGTAAGGTGGCAGAATGCTATGCCCCAATCTATGAAAAATTAGCTCAAATTGTCTATACAGACACTAATTCAAATGGGCCATGTTTTGTCGACCGTAAACTTGAAAAATTGACTCTCCATGGCAAACTCTTGGTGGCGCACTGCATTGTGAATCGCCCGAATTAAAACAGAAATATGGCCTATATGCATAGCCTGATACATTTTGTAGCTCAATGTTAGCGTGAAAGTAATTCCGTGCCTTTGTTTCTATCCCAAAAGAGGCCAGTGAGACACTGAGTAAGTCCAGCAATTTTTTCAGAACTACCGTACATGTATTTGTTCCCGTCACCTTTTGATTCATTTAGGAATGCTACAGTTAACTCACAATCACGTGCATTAATGTAGTCTCCTTGTAATTTATTTGAATGAATGTAGTGGATGTACAGTATGTACCGGTACGCTTTCAGTTAATATTTTGCAAAATGCCTCGAATGACGAAACCTTTTCACTAAATTTACATTGTAAGTATGTAATGTATTGTGTCAGTGTTGTTACGTTTTCCTTAACTCAGATCTAAAAGGAATGACAAATTTTGTTCATTTTGTGTCAGAAATGGCATGCTCTCTATGTCTTCTTGTTCTATTTTGTGGCATGTTTTGTATTTTTTGACATATTTATTGTACATGTTCAGAAAAGAAAAGTACAACGTACACCTTAAATTTGCCTTTTAAGTGGCTGTCATAAGGATCTGCTTTACATTTTGTATACTTACATACCTACATGTACATATGTACAGGGCCCAATTTCACGGCGCTGCTAAGCAAAACATTTGCTTAGCACAAATAAAGTCTGGCTTATAAAAGCAGGTTACCAGCCAAAACTCCATGTGATTTTCATGCTAAGCAAACAACAGCTGAATACTAGTCCTGAGCAATATACATCACGTGGAGTTTTGGCTGGTAACCAGCTTTTATAAGCCAGACTTTTTTGTGCTAAGCAAATTTTTGTGCTAAGCAGTGCCGTGAAATTGGCCCCTGGTATGTACATGTACATGTACATGTATGGATGCAGGTTGTGCGTTATGTTTTCCAATGTCCCAGTGACTACAGTTGAGTGAGCACAGACCATCTTTAACCACAGCAGATTTTATCACTTCAATAGCAATTAAATAGGAAGTCATAAGCATTGACTTCCTGCTCAAGTGAACTGATTGTAATACAGTGTAGCAAAAGTTAGCTTCTGTGCATTTGTTGTTATACATTGTATTTAATAACTGATACACGAGAATGTGTATGAATAATCCACTACCTAGAAGTATACACATAAGTGGTAGATTATGGGATATTTTTGAAGTTGGCCAGTATTGGCATTGGTTTAGGGTTTGAAAGGAAAAGGGCTGATGCTTATTTGATGCATTGATGTGGTGCTGTTACATTTGTATCTTGTTTGTTTTCATATTTCTTGCACTGCTTTTCCTGCCTTTCCAAATTTGGGGGAAAAATTACCTTCTTAAATAATTTTTGCTTCTGAAAATTAATCTACACCAGCTGGCTTTTAATGCAATCTTTGCACCAAAGGGCAAATGCACCTACCTGAATGAGCAAGCTAATCAAAAAAATATCATGCTTTTTTCACAGTTTGTCAATTTTATGTGAAGGGATTCAGATACCGTAGCTTACAGTCAGTGAAAATTGGAAGATTATTTTGCATCCTGGTAGTAAAGTACGTGTACTGTAGGCATGTGAACCAACCATTTCAGAGAACTCTGCAGCTGCACTCTACAGCTTGGCAAACAAAAACTGGAGTTGGGTCGCTTTGTATCATCCATGGATAATTCCTGCCGTATTGATGATTGCTTTTTCTTCAGAAACCTCAAAAAAAATTATAGTATTTTCCCCAAAGGTTTTTTTTTTTTATCAAGGAATACTTCAGTAATTAAGTACTGTAGCCTTGATCTTCAGGTCTTCCTCTTAAAACAGCATTCATGATATATATGATTTGTAGTGATCGCTGCAAGTTCTCAGATGGAACATGCAAGTGTTGACCTACATGTACCTGTGTATGGGAGCACTTTGAGTAACCCAAACAGACTTTGCATGCATTCCCAATTGGGAAAAACCATGGAACAAGCATGCATGCTCAGAAGAATGCTCAAAACATGTCTAATTTGCTTCCAGACGCTTCTCACCAGGTACAGGTATAAGTGCTTGAGAGTAAATGGCAGCTGCATTTGATCTTTAAACTACATACACATTATTTCCATTCCAATAAGTTGGTCAAGAACTTGTTCGAAATAACATCTGCAACCAGTGTGGAATGTGCATACTATATAGAGCCTTTAATTCCTAAAATAAAAAAAATAAATAAAAAAAAATTATGGGCTTGTAAATTGTTGGCTTGTGAACTGCTCTAAGAAGTATGTACACTTACATGAACATTGTAGTGCTAATTATGGGTTGTGCGTATTTGATTTTTTTTGTCAGTTATGTACCGGTCAGACATGCAACTTTTCCTCGGATCAGCTGATTTCCTCTTTTTTTTTACTTCCCATGGGTGCCATTGAAAATAGAAAAACACTGTACAAAGTCTGGGGAAAATTTGAATTTCCTTTTTTTTTTGTGATTTCCCAGTTGCATGCCTGACCGGTACCAACTCATTAGAAAATTAAAAAAAAGTACTAATGAGGAAAATTTTGCACCAGGTTTACCATACTCTTACAGAACAAGTGGTTTTTGGACCTATCATTACATGAATGCACCAGGCAAACCTTCTGGTACTTGTACATGACATGCCTGCATGCTGTCTAGTGCAATGCCATATTTCCAAATAGGGGCCTATAGCAGTCATCAATGCACATTTTATTGATTTATATCCAATCAGTCCACGCCCGGCAATTACTACGATTCCCATGACAAGGAAGTTCGTGCAATTCATTGGAACAGTCTTGTGATCTTCGTCAGAAGCATCTTAGGATCCATGACTCGCCTTGTTTCTAATCGTTATTCTGAAAGAGTAGTTCGTGTACGCTCATGTACTATTTTCTGTGTAGTGTGTTTCACGTAATGAATCAAGATGTCACTTTTAGAAGTTACAAGTACTTCACATTTAGTACTGTATAGTATTACAGGTACCGGTATGCACTGAGTTTTGTTTTACACATTCATGTAGATGTATTTCTTTCAGAAATCATGAACGTAGAGAGAGATGTTATCTTTCATCCACAAAATTGTGTCTACACACTGAATCTGTAGTTTATTTGATTCCTGTGGCAGAACATTTTATTTTGGTTTTCATTTTGCAGTTTTATTGCTTTTTGTTTAAACAGCTCAATCTTTCCTTGCTTTTATTTTGCTTGGCTTTCAAGATTCCTGTGTGCACTTTGCTTCTTTTTGTTTTCTTTCCCCTTCTTTGCTTGTTGTCATGCATGCACATTGTAGAAGATGCTCCTGGCACCGCTGCCGCAACACAAGACTCGACCAATCCCCCGGGTAATGTTAAAAGCTGCTGTTACACTCTTGAGCAGTTTCCACAAGGCAGTATAATATGGCACGATATACCTCGCTCCTACCAACTCCCAGAACCTAAAACTTACCCCTAACCTCCTAGGCCCTTTTTGCTAGGAACCATCCTCAATCCTGAAATCCTCCAAAATGTTGCACAGTTTACAATGTATGTTCAAGTAAAGGATACCCACTGCCTTTAGCCCTGCCTCTCAAACTGTATTCAGCCTCAGTCCTCCAAAATTCTCTGCTTCTTCAAACACCATTCAGCCTCAACCCCCCAGAATCTACCGATACTGAATGTCCATGTGCCCTCAATCCTCCACAATACTCCATAATTGTATGTTGCTGAAGCATTTTTCTCGGAATTGTATTTCTGTCACATGCTTGCGTTTCAGTTTGTGAAAACCAAAATTATTCTATTACGCGTCCGTGTACGAAGGGTGCACGCACACCTGCCTGTCAGTTTGTAAAATCGAAATTTTTGATGACGCGGTTTTCACAACTTGAAAGCACATGAGCGCGTGTCAGTTCTTGAAATCTGTGACGAAGGACACATCTATGTACTTCTTTTAAGGCGCATCAAGCGTCATGCATGTACCGGTACTTGTAGACATACATGTACATGTACCGTAATTTTCGGAATATACATGTAAGCCGCGCGGAGTATAAGCCGCAGCACGCAAAATCTGCAAATTAAGATTTGAAGTCGGCTTATAAGCCGCACCGGCGTATAAGCCGCACCGACCGCAGTGGTTTAAATTTTGTAAGGCCTCCAAATTCTAGTCAAAATGCTCAGAACCAGTTCCATTTACACTACAGAAGCTATAAAAAGAGCCACAAAAGTTATATCAACATCATTAACAATTGATACTCTTACAAACAAATATGGAAATTGATGAGAAATAAACACCGTAAATTACTGCCGGCTGCCCATAGTCCCGTCCCTGGCCTTAAAAGTTAGTGCGTGGCCCGGCAACTTGCGCCGGCCACGCCAGTGAATGACAATATTTTCCCCCAGCACTTGAGAGAGCATGCAACCCACCATGTATGCGTGGCTGGGCTCTCCATCCTGCAACATCAAGCAAACCCTGTCGGTGGATTTTGAAAGGATTTTGGAGGGTTCCGGTTAAAAATATAGGTTTGAGTTTCAGAGTCAAGCCTGCATGGGCTAATTGAGCCAAAGTCTGGACATTATCATGTTTATTATTTTTGGATTCAAAGGAAATTTGGGTATACATGTAGTTTACAGGTAGCTTTTGTGCTGTTTGGTGTGGGAACAAAGACTTGACTATTACACTGCCTCATCTTCCCAGCTTTCAGCTTCTTAACATCTTATTATTTGTTCCTGACCTGTACCGCTGACCCCTTTTATCGAAAAGACCTTCTAGGTGTACATCAAAGTGCCATGTTTACTGCCTTGTGGATTCTGCCATCTCTTGCCATTAAAAGGTGTTCTGGTTTGTGTTCCATATAAAAAAAAACCCACCAAGTGACCGCTGTTTTCATCGGTTTTGATGCATTGCACTGTGTTAAGGCCTTTTCACACTAGAACCTCTCAACCCGGGTTAAACTCCACCCTGGGTGAACCAAGTGCCACCCCGGATAGAGTTTTTTATATTTTAACCTTGAGTCTAATCCCGCATAGTTCCACACTTGTTTCATGCAAACCAAGCTTATTTCTCCCGGTTACTACTATTTCAAACCCTGGCAAGAGTTTCAACCCAGGTTGAAAATCTCAACCCTGGTTGAAAATCTCAACCCTGGTGTGGAGCAGGGTTGAGTTCAACCCTTGGAAAAGTCAATCTCTTGGTTGATGCAGGGTTGGTGCAGAGTTGAACACTTTCAAGTATGAAACGCCACATGTTTTCAACCCTGCGTCAACACCTTGTCGACCCGGAGATTTGTGTCTATTGTGAAAAGGCCTTTAAAGAACTGAGGTCAATTTCATGGGACTGCTTTAAAGGGAAAATACAACATTTGCAAACATCAAAAAATTAAACTACCAAATCATTTTGAAATACCTTGCTGGACTGTTAGTGAATGACAGTGTAAAGCATCCTGTAAAATCATGGCACCTGGTATACTGTCATTTTCAAGAAAAGTGGTATTTTTGTATCAATTTCAAACGCTGATCGGCCGATCAGCGTTGGAAACAACTGGCTTTTTTTCAAATACTGGCCCCAATTGACCATCACACTTGTTTGCAATCGATTACAAACCTATGAACGGGTACGAGCCAGCTAGACTGGTTCCCTGACCTTACAATTCCCCAATGTATGTTAAAGGCTCTGTTTCTTCTTATATGGAGTCAGGGAACCAGACTACAGGAAAATGATCGTTTTTCTTGGTTTTTATAGCATTTTCAAACACAAAACCTCAAAAAAGTCAGTGTAACTATATTTGCTATATATTTCCAACCCCCCAATTCCATCCATTTATGAAAATTACAACAAAAGCAAATGATGTATATTCCCTTTAAGTATTCAGCAAAACCGTGTTAACATTTCAGTGAAAAAAATGTTAATTTCTGTCCTTGCAGGGTCTCTATTAAAATTAACCTTAACCATCATGAGTGATTTAACAGGATGGATCCTTCCTCTTACAAAATCCAACACTATATGGTAGATGTGAAAGAATGGTGCATACATACTTATGTACAATTTTCCATTTTAAGTTCAGCTACCGGTAAGGTTCCCAAAGTCAAATTGATATTAATGAGTCCCTTCTTAACTCGAACATATGTTGAACATGTCCTTGTTTTACTTGTATTTGTTATTTTATGTACTCAGATGCATGTGTGTCATGTACACATGCACATGTTACTAAATGTATTTTGGAGCCTTTGAAGAGATGTACATGTATACATGTTCTTGCATATTAATTACAGTTCCAACAGTGTTTGATGTTATCAGTCAGTTTTGAAAGTATTGAATTTTGTGGTCTTGTGTGTCTACATGTAATTCAGTATGATATGTGTGAGAATGCCCCATGCAATCACCAATTTTTCTGTAGCATTTCCAGACTACATGTACATATGTAGACAGTAAATCTAACTGAAGTAATTATCATTTAGTAGAGAGCCACCTCTTGCTAGCCTGGATAGAATACATGTATTTTCTCTATTTGCATCGGCCCTTAAGCTTCCCAGTGTGACAGTGCCTGACCAGTGGTGTCGAAGGGGGGTAATTGAAGGGGGGGGGGGCATCCCTGGTATGAATCAACCCTTGAAGAAACCAGATGACTTTACTTTGGACCATCAAAAGTTGAGAGTGATTTACTACATTGTACATGCAGGAACCTTCCCCACTCCTAGTGCAAATTCCAACACCACACCACATGGTGAAACTGTACACAAAAACGGTTGGACTCTGATAATTGGTGTATATGCCTACATGTATAACCCCATGTAAAGCATTTTAAAAAAATCAGTTTACAAGTGCAGTACTCGCTCTAACAGATTCCAATGGTGTTGGAGTTTGACTGGATTTGGATTGTTAAAAGTACATTGTATTGTACATGGAGGCACCTGTCACTGCATGTACATTGTACGTGTACATGTACACGTTGTACGTCTCCCATAATAGGCCTCGTACATGTACAGAGGATAGTCAGCAAGAAAACACCAGTTTGTACTACATGAACTTTGTAGTTTATTACATGCCAAACTCACTAGAGTGTATCATGATTGAAGAGATTTAGATTTAACAGTGTTAACTTCATGTAACACAGACAGTTTGATTAAATATTAATGTACATACTGGTAGATCAATCACTTCATGATAATAATGATAAAGTGTTGTTTTGACCAAATTCTGGTGTTCTTCTAACCAAACTCGTGTATTTGTGGGTAACCAAACTCGTGTATTTGTGGGTTACTAAACTTAACCTCTTGCTTACATATGGGAACTTTGCAGGGACATCTCCACCAAAGATAACGGGACAGTCACCTTCCTATTATGTGGTATTATCAAAAGAGCCGACAGAAATCGAATGTGTGGCAGATGGGACTCCAGCGCCAACGTAAGTATTGCTACTAACTAAGCTCATGACAAAAACCTCTTATCTGACAAAAGTTCATCATTAAATAACCACATTTGAAATTAAACACATTTTCAAATGACATTTTCAACCACTTCACTTAAACAGAATTCCGAACAGTTTGCATTGTCCAATAGCATTGTCTTGCGGTAGCTCTCCGGCTAATTCATAGTTGATTGTTAAAAACCTCGCTTAAGTAAACAGCACTTCCCTAACAGTCCTGAATCCTCCAATTTTAATATGATTTTGCACACCCCCTAGGTTTTTAGGGTTTTAAACTACGGTGTTTTAGGTGTTGATTTTAGTTGAGCGCATGCGCGTCTGTTCTCTTTCAACATTATTCTTGTGTGCTTGACCATGTACGCGTACGCTGCCATGCTAACCCGTGTAGACCAATATATGATTCCTCTATTCCTGCTAACAAGGTGACTTTTGTCACTTGGTGAAAACATTTTACTCTTTTTGCGCTTTGTAAAAACGAAAAACATGGAGTTCAGGCATTTTGTCATGTTTACTGTAAATGTAAATTTGATAATAACGAAAGTAAACACTATTTTTCGCTTTGAAACTTGGTCAAATTGTTCCTCGAGACAAATACTATAAAAAGGCTAGGTACAACTTAAAATCGAAAAAAAATACCGGTTTTCAAGGTCTTTGTTACTTTGTGAGCAAAGCGATGTCTCTGAGTGTACAATTTACCGTGTGTAAGGGTGAAAGTACAAGGGTGAGTATGGAGTGCTGCGTTTGAGTACTTGGCCACGAGTGTGAGTAAGAAGTTCGGGGTAATTTGCCTTGAGTTTCATGTACCAGATACATGTAGGGTAGTAATTGGTACATAAAGGCACAATGGTACAAATTTTAGAAAATAGTATTTTGACGAAAGTTAGAAAATAGCAAGATTCACAAGTTTGAGTACTTCAATTCCTGTGAGCAGGCCAGGGTACATGTGTAAGTCAAAATATGAGTGAACAATTTATAAGGAGTAGCAATCTTCTCTCATGAGTATGAGCATTGTACAATTAGGCTACTATATTTATAAATCACTTGTTGTATCCCTCACAGGTACCACTGGCAGAAAGACGGTGCAGATTTGGAAATCGCAGACCCGTATTCCCTCAATGGAGGCAACTTACAAGTGCGACGGCCGGTGGAAGCGACCAATGGGATATACAGATGTTACGCCACCAATGCGTATGGGGTGGCCATGTCGAACAAGATCGACTTCCAGATCGCCTGTAAGTATAGGCCTCGTTTATCTATTCTGACGGTGCCTGTAGTTACATGTAAAACAGATCTGGCTGGACAACACACCCAGTTTGAAATTTGAAAGGGACAAGTAGTTCATGTGTATTTACGCTTTCAAACACACGTGTGATGTGCAACTACAACATAAATGATCAGCATTTGACAGTTTATAACTTAGTTCCAAAGGTTAAGCTGATATGGAACTTATTTTGTCAACTTCCAGTACTGAGGGGAGCTGTTGGAAATACACATGTACCCAAGCCCCAAAATGGCAGCTGCAACACATTTAGACCAAAAGAAAAGGTTTATCAGCCTTTTCTCTGTAACCCCCAAACATTTTATGATATACTTTTGTCATTCATGCACCTTTAAAATCTGACTCCTCTCCCCCCTTCCAGTCACTGATGCATTCGTAGACAAGGAGAAGGCCACCTTCAGATTTAATGAGGGCGACGTGGCCACCATCCCCTGCAACCAGCCGGACAGCGTGCCACTTCCCTCCATCTTCTGGACGGACGATGCCAATCCCGGCAACAAGATCCCCCTGAACAACCGCGTCAGCATCGACCCCAACTTCAACCTGCGGTTCTCTAACATCAATACGACGGATACCGGCAACTACCAGTGTAACGTCAAGAATGACAAGATGCGACTCCAGCTCTTGTCCCCAGTCAAGGAGGTTGTGGTCATCCCAGGTATTACAGGAGTATTTTTTTCTCTCGCCAAGGGCTGATGTACACGGAAGTGCTGCACTGGAAATGCAGAAAATGAAAATCAACATATTGCGCTGTACATACAATGTAGTAAACATAATACACGGGGCAAAACACCACCAAAATTTTGTAAACTTTTTGCAACTTAATGAAAGTTTGCTGGGTGAAGTCATGACCGAGCTCCATAACATCCAATAGACCATTATCATGTTGCGACCATCTTGATATTTTCCCATTCAAACCAAAGCGAGGCTGGAAGGAAAAATAGTCTGGTTCCTTTTTGCACAAAAAAACAATATCCTTCACTATTGTCATTGGATACAGGGAACATGACTAAAATGGTGGCAGCATTATAAAGGGCCATACGTTGATTTGTCAAAATGCGTATCATTTACTAGTCTATTAATGGACCCTTGCGAAAGCAGTCGTGTCTAGGTTTTGCAGATCTATGCGTGCCCATCCATTGTTTTATTTCAAAAACACTGTTTCACTTAACCATTATTGCTTCGCCCTTCGGATGGGACGTCAAACCATACCAGTGTGTCCTGTGTGTTGTGTAACGCAACCCAAGTAAAAGAACCCAGTGATCAGGTGATGCTTATCGCTAAGAAAAGTGGTTTGCCCTAGTGTTTCTGGCCTCCTGTTAAAACTCCCACGTGGAGTATTTAGGAGAAGAACCAACCAAGAACTCCAAGAATAGTTTGACTGTGAACATGTTCATTTTTCTTTCTCTCTCTCTGTAGTTGAGAATATTGAAACCAGGCCAGCCACATTTGTCTACACTCCGCCAGCTTCAGTGGATGCCTTCCGCACGGAGAAGCTTCGTCTGAAATGCATGGCTGAAGGATAGTAAGTATTGACATGGGTTAATTAAAGGTACTATACAGCACCAGGTATGCTGTCCTTTTAAAGAAGAGTGGAATTTTTGTATCAATTTCCAACGATGGTCGGCCGACCATCGTTGGGAAAAAACTTCCCTTTTTTCAAGTACTGTCACTCTTGGGACCTGAGAAAATTGACGTCTTACGCGAATGCATATATGCTATAAGTCATCATTTTGCGGGCTATATGAATGGTCTTTTGCGCACATGATTCATTGCACCCAATGGCTTCGATTTACCCTGGATTATCTCCTTAATGCTTGAGTTGAATCCAGCAAATTAATCCTCGAATTGTATCATCACGTTTGGGGTATTGATAGTGGAGACCACGATACATATGTACATGTACGTGCACAGTAATGAATTAAATGCGTGCGTGTTCTGGTATACACCACGCACACATTGACTGCAGCAGTCGTCATTCAATAAGACGACCCCCAAAATGGACAGAGCGCATGCTTACAGCCTAGAGGGGGTACCTGTATTGATATGCTCGCGATGCATATATGCGATGCATGCAGCAAAGATCCTATAGCGCAGCGTAGTGGTATGCAGTAGGACACCCTTTTTCAACACCGATGCATGCAGTGATCACGGGCCGTGCGAGACCACTTTTCACTCGACACTTTGCCAACCGCAGTACAGGAAGGCGATGCCAATGCGTGATTTGTTGAATGCCATCTTCACAAAGGATTTTGTAATGCTTTTTATGGAAGGGCACCAAGAGTAACACGACGACGACTTGAGCGAAATGGCGACTTATAAAAGCCGACTTAGAAATAAAAAATTCAATGGAAATGCATTACGGACAATCAGGACTTTAGTCAGACGGTGACTTGAGCGATTTGATGAGTTGTACGATGTCGGTTTAGCCGGAGTTTACTGTAGTTCGTTTTTAATTCGGCGAAGCCGTGAATAAGTGTGTACAAGCATTGACACAACTGTTGAATTGCAATCGAGATCCTAGAATATTGTTTTTCTCTGAATTTACAGCATTCACAGATCTGAGAACGAAAAGAAATTCACAAATGACAAATGATCTACTCTGCCATTAATGAGATGACCCCTAAGAAATGATAAGGCATGGGTGTATGTTAGTTTTACCATCAATGCTGCATTCATCAACTCTGAATGAGTTTTGAGAAGTTTGGTTAAGTTTCAGGGTATTGTGGTGATGTAAATTTTGATATTCAAGTCTTCAAGAGCTCAACTGTGATGTCATAAAGTGAGCGGCCACTTTTTGCAGACAGGTTCTCCATACCGATGAGCTTTAAATTTGTGGTATTTTCTTGAGGTACCGGTATGACAAGTTCTTATTGTGAGTTAATGCGTGCATGGTGAAAAGTTACTTGCTGTTATTATTTAGCTCAGCCGTTACAAAATGTTGCGATTTTCTGGCTCCAGAATTTACATGCAGGCCCTTTATGCCTAAGAGACAAGTGTTTTGGTCCCATTTAAAAGGCTTGGATTTTCCTAAAGAAAATAGAATCGGGTTGAAGCCCTCCAGATTCGAGCTGGAGAAATAGCCATACCGGTAGGCTTGGAAAGGCCCCCGGGTTTCTGTGATGTGTACATGTACATGTAACCCTGGAGTGCATTACAACAGCGCCCTCATGTGTCGGGAATTGTGTAGAAATAAACTTGCTGACAGTATTTACAGTCGAATCTCATTAGTACAAACTCTGTTAATACAAAATTCTGGTTATAACAAACATATAAAGCCTTAGTCCCGACTGTGCATTGATGTGCACAATGAATGGGACTGATGTGCCTCTTAATACAAAATTCTGATATAACAAACAATTTGGCTAGGTCCGAACGAGTTTGTATTAACCCTAACTCCTGGGGCTCTTTTACTAGAAAGTATCCTGAATCCGCCAAAATCCACCAATTTTGTCATGCAAAAAATGCTGGTATCCTGAATCCATCAGAATCCCCCAGTGTAGATACTGGAGGTATCCTGAATCCGCCAGAATCCACCAGCAAAAGTCTTGATGGATTCTGGCGGATTCAGGATACCATGGTGGCATAAAAAAAAGTACAGCATGTTTTTCCATAGAGTCTTCAAAATCCATCACCTTAATTTCTGGTGGATTTTGACGGATTCAGGATACCACGCTCGCATGAAAATTTTGATGTGTGTTGTTGCATAGGATCCATCAAAATACACCAATGAATGGCGACCCCAGCATGGAGTACAGAAGTGAATACGTCTTGCGCACACAATTTGTGTGAAAGACATTAGCGCGTGTTTCAGCCCGTAAATCGGCAGCGCGTCCACATGTGTCTCATTCACTGTGCGATAAATCTCCGCCATTTTGGTTGTCTCTCGTAGGCACGCAAAAAATTAACGTAAAGTAATGGAGCTTTCCTCCAGCACGTGACCTAGCTCAACGCGCGCGAAGCTAGAAATGCGCTCCGAGTATTTACATGTTGCGCACACATAATTATTAGCGATGCACATGGTGCTCTTTATGCGTAAACGGTATTGCATTCGTCACGTTTTCGCGCATTATTTGTATCTTTCCTCCAGCACGTGACCCTACATGCAAGTCCACCCAGTACATGTGTGTACATGTTTGTACAGTATGTGACAGACTTGGCAGGGCTAGTGCCAGCAGTATTTACTTGACCACAAAAATTGCAAAAGAGTTAAAACTGTTGAGATCCTGAATCCATCAAAGTCCCCCAATAGCTCAAAATGGAGGTATCCTGAGTCCATCAAAATCCCCAAGTTTGTTCAATATGGAGGTATCCTGAATCCGCCGAAATCCCCCGAAACAGGGGGGTGGATTTTGATGGATTTAGGTACGTTAGGGTTAATGAGACTCGACTGTATTTGGGAACCAATATCTTCATACAAAGACGTAGCTTTGGCCTTTTTTGAATGATGAATTTGTGTGTCTTATTTCTTTGCAGTCCAACACCAGTTATCACTTTCACGAAAGACGGCGAGTCGCTGCCTGCCGATCGCACGTCCTATGAGAGCTACGGCCAGGAACTGGTCATCAGTGATGTTATGGCGTCAGACGTTGGCTCCTACATGTGCACGGCTAGCAACGGAGGCGGTACCCCTACCGCTTTCACCATCACTGTCACTGTAAAGTGTAAGTGTTCCCTGGACTTGGGTTTGATACCATTTAATATTCAGAACAAGAAAAACAAGGTGGTTTCGCTGACTCGCCCGTTGGGAAGGGGTGATACATTAATAGCACGAACATAAACAAACTATTGTGTACAAATAAAACTGGAGAAACCTGGAGTAAGAAAAATAGCATTTGCAGTCCATTTGTAATAAAGAATACTAATAATGATAAAACAGTCAATGATGACGTCGTCATGACCTCACTACATATTTGTCATTTTAGGACACCAAAAGCCTTGATGATCGTATTTTGTTGATAAAAAAACAAAAATTCGCGATTTTGATGACCTCATGAAATCACACAAATGTCACGGCTACCCACTTTCAAAATTAGCTGTAACAGATAACCCAGCTATTTTTCCCCTGAACAAATATCAATTTAAGGATGTTCTGCACTTTCTTCTCAGCAAAACCATATTGGGAGAACAAACCAGAGGACACAAACATTGTGATCAATGAGGGCGGTGTGTTAGATTGCTCAGCTGAGGGCATCCCGGTTCCCATGGTAACCTGGCTTATTAACGGTGTGCCCTTTAAAGAGGCAGGTGAGTTGAAGAGGACAATATTGTCCGAAATTGTTTATAAACATACTACATTGTACATTGGAACTGATGACTAGGCTGTACCGTTGCACAATTTGTAATAAAATAATCTTCAAAGTGCCACAAAATCGCCCAAGAAGTTAAAGGTATAGTCCATCATTTGTAATTAGTGCATTTTGTTCGTTTGAAGCAACAAAAGTGCTCAAAATCTAAAGAAGGGTGCTGAACAACGAACCTGATAAAGTTTCAGCTCAGCATCAGCTGTATATTTGGAGAAAAACAACATTCTAGGATGTCGATTTCAAATCAAAAGTTGCTGAATCATGTTCTGAATTGGGCCTGAATTCAGCGTCAGAAACACGTTCTCACTGAGCAGATTGCAGCTACGCGATGTCGTGCACCGATCCGACGAATTATAGCAGCCACGCGCGTGTGCGTCTTGTCAACGCTTGCTTGTCAACGCTGATTTCTTCAAAATGACAGCTTGCCAGGAAGAATAATTTCACAGGGAGTTTAGTCCCCTTACTATCTTTCAACCAAGTATGTTTTTCAACAATAATTACGTCAGTTAGTTTGTGGATAGTTGCAAATGATGGACTCTGGCTTTAATTTATTGTCGTGCCCAACACTCTCACTAGAAAAAAATATGGACATAGATCCCATAACTTGATGAACTTCTGTATCAGCCTGGCATTCAAGCTTTTCACTCTGTCACTTTAATACATGTATTTCAAAAGGCCAAAGACCTAATGATGTCACGCTGTGTTGACAGACGGTTGGCAGGCGGTCCCTACTTTGTCTGGCGTCCCATCTTTGCTCCCATAGGAAAGCGCATATGCAAACAGAGCCCTTACGTCTTTAGGTCTTTGGTCTATTGAGGTTAATATGCCACCTGATGCTGTCCATGATGCCTTTTATGTCATAGGGACACTATGTATTTTGCTTGAGGCCTGTAGGAGGATTTTTTTTCAATTCTGTATCTGGATCTTGACCTGGATCGTTATACTTCCGGCTACCCGCATCAGGGTTATTAACCTACTAGTCCCTGCACCACCAAAAAGAGCCTTGCCTGTTATTCCTTTAACTGTCCAAAACTGCTATAGCACTGTAGATGGTGTTGTGGATATCATCAATGGGTTACGGCAGTGTACAACACTGTAGCAACAGTTTTAATGGGTTAAGTGATCCCATGGTATTCCCAATTGCGTGGTCCCATGCTGTTTCCAACTAGGTGATCTGATGCGATTCCCAATTCATCAGTCCGTTGTTGTCTCATATCAAGAGATCTCATCTTGTTTCCAATTGGACAATCTGAAGCTGTTTCTAATCAGCAGATCTCATCTTACTCCCAATTGGGCAATCTGAAGCTGTTGGTTATCAGCAGATCTCATTTTCTTCCTGAATGGGCAGTCTCATGCTGTTTCCAATCGGGAGACGTCATTTTGTTCCCAATTTGGCAATGTCATGTTAATACTAATCCGGATAACTCATTTTGTTCTCAATTGGGCAGCATCATTTTGCTTCCAATCAGGAGATCGCATCATATTCCTGATTGGGCAATCTGTTTCTAATCAGAAGATCTCATTTTGTTCCCAATTAGGCAATCTCAAGCTGTTTCAGATCAAGAGAACGCATTTTGTTTCGTATAGGGCAATCACATGTTGTTTCCAATCAGGTGATCTCTTACTGTCCCCAACTGGGCAATTTCAATGTTGCTCCCAAGACAGGTGGTGTACCTAATCGGACATTTCAGGCACACGTATTGTAAGGCCTCGGGGAGGAAAGGGGTTGCTATTTTAATTTGTCAATCAATGTGTATTTATTTGTATCTCACCATAAATTATTTGTTATGCATCTGAACGACAACCTTTTTCACCTTTTTTCCCCCCGTTCCATGCATGAAGAGGCCAATCCTCGTCTCACCATCACCGAGGGTATCGGAGGGGGCAGGGTAGAATTAACAAATGCCATTACGGAGGATAGTGCCGTCTTCGTGTGTGTAGCATCCAACGAGTATGGCGAGATATTCGCCAGTGGCTTCGTCAATGTGGAATGTAAGCCTCTTCTTATTCAGTGGACTCTATCTTGAAACCCAACTCTATCCAAATCTGAAAACACTGCCCAATTTATTGTGCTCTTCTGATGCTGTCAATATGGGGGTTGAAACGATGCGCCTATGGCATGATACAATATGATCACAATTATAAACCTCAAGATTAGATATGATTCTATGTAAATCCCGACACTGTAAAAAATGGAATAATGAGCCAAAAACATATATGTACAGCCATTCTGTAGCATTTCCTTTTTGTTTGCAAAAGAGACGAAAATGGGCACAGTTCGTAGTGGAGAAAATGCAATTTTTTTTTCTCTATTTTCTGATTTAATGATACTTGAAATCTTTGATACATGTATGTCTACTACATATACTTTATAACAGATAGTATAGCAAATCATGGAATTTAAGATGTTTTTTACTGAAAAACAATTGGCATTGTTCATTTTACGAATACAAAAATAGAAACGTTAAAGGCCCTTTTTTCTCAGTATTTTACTTTTTGACATTTCGATCAGTGCGATATTTAAACAGCCATAACTTGTCAATGGAATGTCCAGTTGAAGTGCAACAAACAGTATTGTAAGAAGCATTTTATTCTCTTTCCTAAGACCTGCAAACCCTCATTTCGGCCTCTGCTCAGTGTTGTGACATTTTACCAGAACGCCTCTCATTATATTCAATAAATCCCTCCATCACCTGAATGACCAGTTTACCCAAAACACTTTGACCATGCAAGATGCTACATTCTAGTGTGAAATTGTAATATATCAATATTGTAACATCCAATAACGTAGTGCAATACATTGATGTATTATTGATCAACTGTTTCTCTGTTGTCTAACTCTTCTTTTTTTAATACAATTTTAGCAATCCCGGCTGAAATGACCGATGCACCCCAGCGGAACCTGAACAGCATCGAAGGCAGAGCCTTTGACTTGACCTGCGCAGGGCAGGGCTCCCCGAAGCCTACCATCCAGTGGACATTTCAAAACAATCCGGTAAACAGCCTAGATTTCACCATTCCTCTTGAAATTCCTGTCGCTCCCACCAGTCAACTAGTGTCCTACTTAAAAACAAACAGTGAAAAAAACTTCTCATTTCTTTTTTTTTTAATTCATTAAAGGGAATGTACAGCATTTGCTTTTGCTTCAATTTTCAGAAATAAATGGATTTGGAGGACTAGTATGTTTTAGAAAATATTGTTAAACTGACTTGTTTCACGTTTTGGGCTTGTAGATGCTGGAAAAACCACGAAAACCTATCATATTCTTGTAGTCTGTTTCCCTGACCCCACTTAAGATGAAACGGAGCAATGGGAATTGTAAGGTCAGAGAATCAGTCTAGCAGGGCCAAGCAGGCTTGTACCATTTCACAGGTGTGTAATCAATTCCAAAGAAAAGTCAGAATAACTAAACATGAAAAATTAAGAACAGTTTTTGAAAAAAGCCAGTTTCCTCCAACGCTCGTCTTCCGACCAGTGTTGGAAAAATACTTTTCTTGTGATTGTCAGCACACCAGGAGCTACGATTTTGCAGGATGCTTTAGACTGTTAGTCCCAAACAATGCAGTAAGGGTTTTTGTGATATTTTGATCATTTCGTTTTATGATGTTTGCAAATGTTGTATTTTCCCATTAACCCTCCTACTGCTACTGTTTGAACAGTCACAGACAGTCAAAAATTCCATCCACTTCCCCTGCCATGCCTTTTACACAGGCTAGTCACCAACAGTCAGATCACATTTCAGTCAAATTTAGTCAACAGACAAAAGCAGTCATTTGGTGGCGCAGCTGTCTCATCAATCACCTACAGTCAAAGCATAGCCGTATGAAGTTACGGTACATAAACAGTCACAGCCAGTCAAGCCTGCTTATGTGAGCCGGGACTCTTAACTGTTGAAAACAGTCACTTGATTGATTTGGACTGAAAGGACAACTAGGCACAGAATTTATGTTTGCATTGGAGGGTTAATTTATGTTTGCATTGGAGGGTTAATTTAAAAAACAAAAACCCACCGCTGATAAATGATCCATTGTCCTGACCAGAATTTGCTATCAATTCCACCCTTAATTGTGGTATGCAGTGTTCACAAATATGAAATTACACAGTTGAAGGGTAAAACCATAGAGCTATATTAAATTACTAGAGTGTTATTTCCTTGTTCTTGCACCCGGAGACACTTTGAACCGCAGACATCTTGAATTCATGTGCGTGTTTGTAGAACATAATGAAATTAGATGGATTGAATTTTAAAAGTGTACTCCACATGCAACGTGCAAGTAGAACGTACGCAAGCTTCTTAAGCGCGTGTTCCGGTTTAAAAAAAACCCACGGTTAATTATCTGCAGCGGATACGCACACACGTTGCGCTGTTGTTTGCGTAGAGCAAAATGACACGCTCATTTGCTGATCGTGCGTTTCGGTTTTGGGCGTACTGGCTTCGATGACGCACCGGTATGGAATACAAACACAGATATGCAAATAGCCGTACCAAAAACGTACAAAATTTCTAGCTTTCGATAGGGTTGTGCACAAACATGGATGCGCCCATCGGGCATTACTTTGTACATGAGTCAGCACTCTAGTAATTTAATATAGCTCTATGGGTAAAACCCAACTTTCAAGTGTTTTTATCTCATTGATATCACAACCAGATTGTCCATGGTGAATCAAAGTACAGCATCGTGGAAGATGGCAATACGAGAAGCACAACCAGCACTCTGACAGTCACAGGAGTGGGTGTGGAAGATAGCGGCGACTACAAGTGCATTATTGAGAACGGCTTCGCAGCAGTGGAGGCCACATCAACGGTGAATGTCAGAAGTAAGTGGATGAGTGTAGTTTTCGTCAGGATGGGTGTATAGATGAGTCAAGCCTTGAGGCCAATTTCACGCTGAGCAAAAGCTTTACGGAGAAAGAACAAGCAAATACCTCAATCAAGGTTTTTTTGAGTAGCTTGCCAGTTGCCTCCAGACTAAATGAATTGTGATGGCTTGACAACTTTGCTTTTGTTGTGTTAAAGGTAGAGTAGATCATTTGCAGCTACGTGTATTCAAAAAGGGTAACTAACAAAAAAGTAACAAAATTATTATTGAAAACGTTACTTGGTTTAATGATGGGGATGTCAGTCAATTCCCTGTGAAATTATTCTCCCTGGCGTGCTGCCATTTTGAACAAAAAAATGAAGAAGGCCATTTCCAAAGATGCGTCAACTGATGCATTTTTGGAAATTTCCGTTAATGGATGTGGGCAAGCGCGGTTATTAGTTGGTTCAGAGCGTAGTATTGCCCGGACGTGTCCCGGATGCTCATTTCAGGCGCAATTCAAAACAGGACGTTTTGAATTGAAATTGAGATCCTAGAATGTTGTTTTCTCGAAATGTACTCCATACACAGGGCTAAAACTTTATCAAATTAGTTGTTAAGCACCCATCTTTAGATTTTGAGCACTTTGTTGCTTCAAACGAAAAAATGCACAAATGTGACCCACTCCACAAAAATGAGTCTGTTGTGGCAAAACTGACATTTTGAGTTAACTACATTGATAAAATGGGAATGAAATAAGCTTTCATTTGGTATATCATGGGCCTCTCTAGGGCGTTTGGTTGCACTGTTGTGCCTTTTTTAATTCTATCAAGTTTTTGCAAAGCAAGAAATGTCTCAATGAAGAAAAAAGGGTTTAAAAATTACAAATACAATGTAACTAACCAAGAAAAGCACCAAATATCATAAATTTGTTAGTCGTTTTCTTACAATATTTAAATTTCTGTGTAAGATATCTGAACTAAAACTATCAAACAACCAAAATAAAACAAAAACAAAAAATCCAAATTTTGAGCAAATTTTCACTGTTTCCATTTAAAAGTGGTGAAAGCTGGAATTCAAGCTATGCGACATCAGACTCATTTTTGCAGAGCGGGTCACAAATGACATATGATCTACCCTTCCTTTAAGTAATCTTGTTGAGCAACGCAGTCACTTCAAGATTAGTTGGCATTAAAAATGGCACATATGTAGATTTTCTAGAATTTGAAGAAGAGAAATTTCTCACCTATTTTTAGGTATACCCATTATTCCCGGCATGAAGATATTTTTCCCCATATCTTGACTCCAAATCAACTTTGTAAAATGTGCATATAAATTGTCTTTCAGGAGGTACAACAATTGTCGTGGGTCCAGGGGCTGAGGTGAGTGTAGAGCTGGGTGCAGACGCCATCATTGCATGCGAGGTGGATCACGATGCCGCGCTGGAACCCACAGTTACCTGGTCACGTAACGTTGGAGCCGGCGAAGAAGAGCTGGACCTGACGGTGCCGGGCGGACGCTTCCGACGGGCCAAAACTGGCTCGGACAACCTGAAAGTGGTGGCTACTGTCGGGGAGGACACGGGAACGTACAAGTGCAAAGCTGTGACAACTGAAGACGAGGCCTCGGCATCCACAGAGCTGGTCATTAAGAGTAAGTTGGTTTTTAACCTCGTCTCTGCCTTTTCGATCACAGTGTTGTTAGACACGTATGGATTGCGTTTCTCACAGCAACCAATCCAGCCGTTTCTTGATGAATGACCAACCGCGTGGTGATTGATTGCCATCTTTGTCGGTGCCTGATATCAGTGCTGCGCCTATACACCCAACTGTAGAGAGTGCTGTGCCGCCTACAAAGTAATGAAGGACACATGACAGGAATGCACCTGATCTCATGACAGAAATTCCATTACAGTCAAGGGACTGTTACTTACAGTATAATTATTTTTAGTTTTACTACTAACGGCTTTAATAGGCATGCAGACCTATTACCCCTAACCCCCTAGTAGTTCCTCAGGACTACCCTGCTACGGTAAATCCAACATAGTCCAACAGGAGTTCCCTGCTCAATCCACTGTGCGTTATTTTCAGTTGTTTGCTGAATCCAACAGAGTCCAACTTGGCATTATAATGCGATTCAGTTGCCTGCTGAATCCAACATTTTGCATGAGGAATGTACACAAGGGGTTTACTGCTCAATCCAACAGGCTCCATCGGGTGTATGACATAGTTGGATCCTGTTGGATTCAGCAGGGTTAAGGTTAATGCAAAAAGTTTTTGTCAGTTTCTCTTGGTCGACTACACATGTACATACCTGTAGATAAGCTAAAGGCAGGTGATTCTTGTACTCTTACAAGATATATGCACCTCAGTAGAAAGAAGAGGACACATTTATCACCTCAAAGGTTTCAATTTAACATACTAGTTTGAAAGGAAAATAGAATTGGTGTATCCTGATCAGTGCAAAACGATTAGTACAGTACATTTCTGGCGAAAAGACTGCCACTTGCAAGATGCTAGAAAGCTGAAGCGAGATATCAGTGAAAAAATAAAAATTATATAGGAGGGAAGGATACCCCAGAATCTGGCCAGGACTGAAAGCCCAATCAATGTGTTGGCCTGGGTTGGATTCGATCCAGGGCCACAGTGGTGAAGGAGCGTGCCTATTATGAATGGATGGACCACTGCTTCATCCTGACTCTTCCCAAAATCCTATAATTTTCTCTTTTTAATGGTTTTTGTTCTTGATTTTTGAATAGCTGTGCCTTCCCCTCCGTCTAAACCGATAGTCAGCAAGCGCTCTGACATCTCCGATACCATGGTTGCTGTGGCGTGGAACAGTGGGGACGACGGCAACTCCCCAATCACTGATTACATTGTCTCGCGCATGACCAACTTCGCCGACCTTGGCTGGGTAGTTGAGTCCACTGTGCCAGCTGCCTCCACCCAGGCTTCCTTAGACCTCTCCCCCTACGTCACCTACTGGTTCCGCGTGGTGGCCGTCAATGCTATCGGAGAGTCTCAGCCCAGCGAGTTGTCTGATGAGTACACGACTGCAGCCGCAGCTATAACGGAGACCCCAGAGGAGGTGGGACTTGAAGCCACGGATCCTGGCAAGTTGAAAGTGACATGGCCGGTAAGTTTAGACAACAAGGCCCAACTTCATCAAAGGAAATGGCATGGTTTGATAACTTTCTACTACCAGTGATAAAATACCAGTGAACTTCATCGAACTTGGCATTCATAGTAAGATGTGTGTGAAGAGGTCAGACAACAACCTGAAGCTTGTAGTTGGTCTGCCGCCTTCAGAAAGACAATTGCTTAAGCATTACTGTGCATGCATTTCACCAGCAGTTGCCTCGTTAATTGCAGAAATAACTGTTGCTGCTGTCTTTGAATGTTGTCTTTTAAAACAACCTCTTTGTGGTTAAAAAAACACAATGTATGAACAGGAAACTAATGTGAAGTGTTCTGGCAAAATGAGACGGAACTGGACACAGGCTGTACTGGAGAAAAGTGTAAAAAAAAAAAACTTAATCAGGACTAAGCCCGTGATTGTTTTTGTTTTGGTTTTTTTCTATTTTGAGATTTATTGGTCTTTTTTTCAGATTTTTTGGTAATCTTTGCTATGTCTACTACACATTTTAAAGAAATTGTATAAAAGTTGTAGATTTAAAGTATTTTTAAGGAAAAACAATTGGCATTTTTCGTTTTCATGAATGCAAAACATCGAAATTTTTAAGGGCCTTACTTTACTTTACTTTGCTTTTAAGACACATGTGTTGATAAACAGCCATAACGTGTCAGCGGAATTTCTAATTGAAGTACAACAAACAGTATTGTTAGGGGAATTGTATTCTTCCTACCGACCGCAAACCCTCGTTTCGACCTCTGCCCAGTTCTGCCTCATTTTGCCAGAACGTGTCACAAAATATGTTCTACAATATTTGTGAGACGTTCACAAATGGCTATAGCCGGCCGTGTCCGAAACGGGCTTCCAGAGCTATGGCTACGTCTATTGTCAGCGTGTCCCCGCGTATTCTCAATGGGCGTGGACATAGACCTAGCTCTAGACAGTTGATTCGGATGCAGCCATATGTTCTAAAGTTGTTGACCTTTACCCGAATTGTCACCCGTTCCAGGAAGTGCACCCGTACGACCAGAACGGCCCCGGATTCAAGTACGTGGTCAGATGGAGGGAGGCAGGCACCAGTGATGACTGGACACCCCACAACATTGACGACTACAGGACGACCAGCTACGAGATCGACGGCGGTGATATCTACAAAGAGCTGGAGGTGGAGGTGGTGTACGTGAATGACCTAGGGGAAGGACCAGCCTCAGAAAAGTCAGGTTTCACTGGAGAAGGAAGTGAGTATTGGCTCAATAAGATTTGAAGGTTTGCATGGTGACAATAGCAATAGGATAAAGTCTACGGTAGCACCATGTCACCAATCTGTTTGGTGGGTTTGTGAGGTTTGGAGAAGAGCTGGGGGAAACTCAATGTTTCCAAAAGTATACTCTTCCTTTTTATATCACCCCGACGCAAAATTCCATCTTATATACTCTTCCTGTTGTCCCGAGACTCCGGACGACGGGCAGTATAATATCCTAAACGTTGCGGTTCCCCCTGGTTCTTTTCAGAACCCCACAAGCGCACCAAAGAGATTTGTTACATTGTTACAATTTTTTTTTTTTGTAAAGTAATTCAATCTTATTGAGTATTGGCTCCAAATGACACAGAGCTGCTTGTTACAGAAATTGGCTGACTGTTTGCTGATTTTTTTATAAGTACAGAATGCCGTGGTACTGTAGTTGCGGTGTTTGACTCATGTACAATGGTGCGTGGGTTCGAACCCTGCCAGGAACATGGTGTTTGTGCCCTTTGGGCTAGACACTTGACTACAATTGCCTCTCTCCACCCAGGAGTATAAATGGGTGCCTGTGAGGGTCGAGGACTGAAAGGTGCGCTGATATTGGCTGCCGCGTGGTCTCGTGGCCTGATGAACAGGGAAATAATTAACCAAAATATTATGTAATAATCAATTGTGATTTGGTTTTCAGCTTTGCTTTTCTTTAGTTTTAGTCTGGACATAAATTTGCAAAGCAATACATTCTGCTTTTAAAGCAGATAAAGACTGCCAGACAAAAATAAAGACTCGTGAAAATTGACGAATAAGCACATCATGAAAACGGCTGTTTTGAGTGAACCAAAAAAAATTCAACTGCGTCATAACAGCTCCTTTTTGGGCCAAAATTTAAGGATTTTCCCTTCCTCCTTCGGTGACTGTTGTAACTATTTTATGGTTTTTGACGCCAGCTCCTACGGAAGCACCACAGAATGTCCAGGTGGTCGCTGACAGTCCGACAGAAGTCGTCATAACCTGGGATGAAGTGCCTGCCTCGTCTATTAACGGCATGCTCCAGAAGTTCCTGGTAAACATTTCATTTGATAAAATTTGTGTTGAGCAACAGTGTTCTCAATAAAGAGTAATTTACTTTTTGTGCATTATTCATTGGTTTTGTCCAACTGAGCATTATTGTAAATCAGTTAAATTTCTAAATACTGAATGTGCATGTATGTGTTACTTGCTGCAAAGTACCATTGATGAATTTTTTTTATACTGAACATTTATTTCAACGTTGTTATGACACTACAAACATAAAATAATTATGTTCACATTTAACCCTAGGTCGGGGGGGGGGGGGGGGGGGAATGAGAAGAATTACCATTCGTGCATATGAATAATTAATTAGCCATAATTCCAAAACCCTTTGACCTATAGTGATGAAATTTCTTGGGTATGTTCATGAAGAGTTGTTCTCTGTGCATGTACCGAGTTTCAAAAAAGTCTGAAGAAACCTATAGAGAGAAGACAATGAGAAGAAATTGCAGTTTTAGATGTGGGAGGAAAACCCCAGAAGAATATTCTCGGGATCATGTATTGACTGAAAACCATATCCACATGTGGGCTGGGCAGGATTCGAACCTTGGCCATAGCAGTGGAAGGCACGGAGAGAAACCACTGCGCCAACCTCAGTCCCGAACCCGACTCCCCTACCTGAAGGGACTTTTACATTCTTTGACTACTGACCAGTAAGCCAGGGGGTGTGGGTTCGATTCATTCCTGAGCCTGTGAAGATTTGTTCTGTTTAAACAAAATCTTGCATGGGCTCCAGGAAAGCACTCAACTGTGCAAAGGGTATTTTGTTCATTGAAGACACATACATGTATGTTAAATTTCAAGTTATAGCAGAGATTAAAATAAACATGTAACAATGGTGGCAAATTTCTGCAAAATCAGTTAAAAAAAAAACAGAAACAAAGAAACTAGAAAGCACTCAGAGAGCGCACACCTCCACTAAGGCTAAACAATTCCCCACCATATTGTCATCACACTCAAAAGAAATACTTGCATAAATGGTGAAGAATCCTTAAATAAAAAATAATGGATCCAGATCCGGATCACTTCCAAAATCTAATCGATTTTTACTCGCACCATGGACCACCCTTGTACTTGTACCAAGGACCATCTCCTGAGTAATCTTGTTAAAGATATAGTCCATCATTTGTAAGTTGTGCATTTTGTTCGTTTGAAGCAACAAAAGTGTTCAAAATCTAATGAAGGATACTGAACAACTAACCTGATAAAGGTTCAGTTCAGCTTCAGCTGTACATTCCGAGAAAAACAGCATTCTAGGATCTCAATTTCAAATCAAAAGTTGCTGAATCATGTTTTGAATTGCAGCTGTACGCGATGTCGCGCACTGATCCGACGAATTATAGCAACTGCGCGCGCCTGTGCGTCGTGCCAATGCTTGCGCGCGCTGCGCCGAATAACAAAACGAACGACTAATTTAAGTTTTCCTACCGTGCGTCTTAAGACGCACCGTTGGAAAGGCCTTCTTTCGTTGATTACTTCTAAATGATAGCTTGCCAGAAAGATTAATTACACAGGGAGTTTAGTCCACTTACTATCTTTCAACCAAGTACGTTTTTCAACAATAATACGCCAGTTACTTTTTCGGATGGCTGCAAATGATGGACTATAGCTTTAATAGACAAACCAACCAACTAACCAACAAAATCCAATGAAAACATAACTACAACAGCTGTAATTCTGAGGACATTGGTTTGTATTGATCTCCTACAGGTTTACTATACCATGGTAGAGGCACAGGCCCAGGGCCAGGAGCCTGCCGAGTGCCTGCCCAACACCGACTGTCGTGTGGGCGACCTCACCCCGTACATGAACTACCAATTCCGGGTGGCGGTCCGAAACGGTCAACGCGAGGGCGAAAAGTCGGCTCCTGTCTCATTCCAGATGCCTGAAGGAGGTAAATAATATGTACTGATGAAATCGGTGTGTAATGCTGTGTCACATTGGCCAGTACATGTCAGATGAAATGTGACCGGCTCTACAAAAAAGGGTATTAAGTCGCCCTTAGCATTATTGTGTAATGGCCTGCTCAACATTGAGAGGGTGAAAATTTTGTCAAAATGTGATTTTCATTTTATGTCATGAATGGCATCTTTAATACGTACAGTTTCAGGTTTCATTCACAGAAATGTTGATTTTGATGAACAAAGTGGAAAAAACTACCATTTTGTGTGCATCATTCTAATGTTCCACAACAAAGCCAGCTATTTCAAAGGCTGTTTTCTCAGTTGTGCAATTTGAACTCCAAGGAAGTAATTAATATGCAAATACATCATATCTCCAGAACAGGAGGGGCTATGGAGCTACCAAATAAAAGCTTACGTTGTGGGCTTTCTAACCATGTATATAACTCCATTTCACTTTTTTGCAACATATACCCTTTTTTGTGGAGCCGGTCACAAATGACATACCTCGGTGCTCAATGTATTGAGTCTTGCAAGCAGATGGGGGGAGTTTGGTTCATTTTTAGAGAGGTGCATGCAAATTGAAATTTTTTTAATTGAATCCTTAAATCTCGAGGATTTGAAAAGGTGAATTTCCAATTTTAATGAGCACTTAAATGATGCCATCTGAGGCAGAAGCATCGGTGTTATAGCCAAGTGCAAAAAAAAACTTGCTAGAATTTGGGGTGTTTTGGACTGGGGTCGATTTTATATTTTTTTGTTTAAGCAGTTATCATTTAATTCTCAACGATCAGTCATTGAGCAAACTGCTTCAGTGAGCTCAACTTTTTGGTTTCAAATTTGTACAGACAAAAGTTACTGTAGGCCTACATGTACAATGGGTTTAAATACCAATTGACATAACAGCAGTTGCGCCCTCAGATGTCAGAAAATAACACAGACGATGTAAATGTAGAAAAAGTATACATGTAATTCAAAACAAGTATAAAAAAACAGCAAAAGAAGCAATGGGTGTTCCGTGATTTCTGCACAAGGCAAAAGCAATTGATTTCGCAGTGCAATTTAACCCCACGTCTGTTTGATTCACTCTGTAGAATCTGGACCTGTATATGAAATGTCCATTGTCCCACTGTCCGACCGTATAATGGTGAAGTGGGGCAAGCCGGCTTCCCCCAATGGTGTCATCAAGGGATACAACCTCAGCTACAACACCTGTAAGTATTAGAGCAGCTCTGCTCCTAGACAGTCGCTAGACAGTCTTGTTTTGCCTATTGGCACCCCTAGTATTTACCAGCATGGCGCTGTGTAACGTGTTATAATTTGCCGGCCTCGACATGTCTAATGATGCGCCCAATGAAGTGCACGTGCATAACATTTCCATAGAGATGGCCAATGACAGCTCACCTGTACCGCTGAGAAAGCATCCATTATTAGATTGGGGATATCTTTCTCTTGTTTGGTGTAAGTTTCTCTCTTTTTTTCTGCACGATTTTCATGAGAATATTAAAATTTGAAATGTAATATGCCAATTATTGTTTTGTAAGTCGGAAAATAATATGATGGAATACATGTACCAAAGGGCCTCGAAATTAGGTTTTGACCTCTCGAAGAATGGGATTTGCTCCATGTTGTATTGCATTCACCACACACAGAAACGTGTCTAATCACGTACATGTACATGACTTTGCACAAGTATGCAAGCATATTCATTTCCTTCCAAAAGTATTATCTGCCTGCGCCGTTACGTGGTGGGCGAACTTAACCCGGCCAGTTACTGACTTGATTTCAAGTCTACTCTGCTCCATTCTTCGCATTCAGGCACCCCTGCTAAGTACCGGTAAGGGCCAAGTCATACAGGTAACAGCGGCCGATTTCACAAAATGGAGCATAACTTTCGCCAGGAGTAGGATTTATGCAACAAATATGTGCAGCTGCGCTGTTAACTGACTATTGATTTTGGGAAACTTGGCGTTGCTGCACAACGTTATAAATTTATGTAAACATTTTGGATGAAGATAACAATGGCTGTTCTTGAATTAATTATTAGTTACGCAACGTGAGATGTTGCCTAACTTATGCGATCAAATGTGGCGTAAGTGAAGTTACGTTATTGCGTAAAGTTTCGTGACATCGGCTGCGGGCAATTCTGAGGCAACCAAATATGTACTGCAATTTGGACAAACTGTCTCGCAGAACAGAAAACCTTTTTAATAACAGTTCGTGAAAATGCCTCATGGAATAAACGCAATATAAAGCTTGCCTGTTATTTTCTTCTTGGAGATTGCCTTAAACCAATACATTGCGGAGTACTTACTAAGTTCCTTATTAATACTAATTGTGAACATGTCTCGTCCAAAAAATAAGCAAGAAAAAAGTGTCCTTCTAGAGATTGCCTTTAAAGAGGTAAGTTGAGGCATTGAAAAAAAGAGATACTGAGATTATTGATTATTACCAATAACTTTTCTTTCTCTCTGTGACTGTAGTCGATGGCAATGATTTGGGAGAGGAGACCAGAGTTCCCATTGGGGACCCAGAGGCCGATTCCTACAAGGTGGAGTCTGCACAGCCCGACACCAACTACCGCATCTCAGTCTACGCCACCAACGGATATGGCCTCGGCCAAGCGACCACCCAGGAGATTAAGACGCGAGTCGGTGGAGGTAGGTGGAATTGCAGAATTACAATCTCAAGACCCAATTTTTTTTGCCTCTGTCTCGACTTGGTCTTCAATAGTCAAGTCCATCACAGTCAAAGTAATTCACAGATCCCCTTTCACAAGTCCAGTCAACAGTAACAGGGGATGCCAATTGTCACAGTTCATGTGAAGAACTTGTGAATTCACTGGAAGAGACATGATGGACTTGGGATTCGTGAGGACTTTTGAGGAGTTGTGAGGACCTGTAATGGGTTTAACTATAACTCTCATCTTAAAATGCAAATGCCTTGGTCTTGGTGTCTTGCTCAGCGTCTCAGGACTCGATGGTTAGTCTGAGACTGGGCAGAGTTCTTGTCATTTAATTTTAGATTAATTTGTCAATTTCAGTGGAACTGGAATCCATCTATTACGGCTTACACAAAACAAATGTCTAAAGATGATCCACCTCTTGATTGTTGTCAGTAGAACATGACCACTCGCGTCCTCTGTGTTACGGTACATGAACTGTTTGGGGTCGTTGCATGTGTACATTTTTATGTTGGTCTCTTTCCCTGTGCACGTTGCAAATGGTCCCTCCACAGTGCACAGGTATAAAAGTAAAGTCTGTCCTGAGCCAATGTGGCCCATCAGGCCGGCGTTTATCTCCGGTTTCCTTGGCATGAAACGACTGAGAATATATCTACTCCCCCTGAATGGGATGCCAGTCCATCGCAGGTTACTCCCCAGCTAATGCCGGTAGCCATTTATACTCCTGGGTGGAGAGGGGCAAGTGGGGGTGAAGTGCCTTGCCCAAGGACACAATATATGGCCGGCGGCTGGATTCGAACCCCGGACCCTCTGATCATGAGTCACGAACCTTAACCACTAGGCCACACACTCCCCCACAGTGCACAGGTACTGTGGCTGAAAAACCTGAGGGATCCTCTAAAGAGAGAACACGACAATCAGTTTAAGCAGTTGGAGGAAATTCCTGGAAAAACATTCAAAGGAGCTCCCATGGAATCAGGCAGGGACTGAACACCCCAGTCCATATATCAGCCTGGATTAGATTTGAATCTAGGTCACAGTGGTGGAAGGTGAGGTAAGTTGTATACCACTGCATCAGCCTGGCTCAGATTTGGTAAAGTGTGTCTTTTTTTTCTTTCTCTTGTGATTTTACAGAGCCACCCAAGCCTCTTCTTGCCGATGCCCAGATCGCGCCAGGAAAGACGTACATCAATGTGACCTTTGTCCAAAAGGACGAGGGCGCCGCAGCCAACGAGTTCTACGTTTTGTACAAGGAAGCAAGTGAGTCTCTTTAAAAGTTTCTGCAGCAAAAACTCTAGGAAACTAACTGCATGCTTCATTCAATCATGTCGTCACATCACTGCAATATGGACAATGGTATCCAAATGGGGCACAAATGTGTATATGTTATGCAGATTTGGGTTACTCACGGCTCACACATGATTGGATTTTTAATCATTCCTTCTCAGGGATATTATTCCAAGCTTGGTTTCACCCATTCTGTGCTCACAGCCCAAAAAAAAATCCAGGGGATATGATGTGTACGCAATGAATGTGGAGCCTGGAGCCCACTATGGAATTGTAATGGGTCACATAATCTGGATTGAATGGTTGCCCTCTTTGCAATGATATGATACATGTAGTATTTCATGCATTAGAATACTGAGATCAAGTTTTCACTCAGAGTAGTTCGGCTATTACTCGGCACCAGTTTGATGGAACTTCCAAGTGGGACATGTGCAGTGACAGGAAATTTCTACTAATAACGAAGCACAGTCCACCAGCAACAACAAGCAATGTATTGCCTCTGTTCGCGTAATAGAGAGGGCGTTTTTTTTACCACTTTCGAGAGTCCCTCGAACGGGATACAATGCATGTTCTCATAATGGTTCACATGCCTATAGTGTGAAGTACGCACAACCAATTTTAATTCTGAGTGTGCGCAAAGCCATAGCATCTTCATGTCAACTTGAGGCGTTGTCGGCAATGCGTTCAAATGCCTCTTCCCGTTGTCTCCCCACTCTTCCGTTCTTGACATTGAGGGGATACTTGTGCACAGGGCCCATAAAACCTTTAAATTGTTTTCTGCTAAAAGTTCCATGAAATTTGGTCGAGACTAGATGTCACAGAACACATCTCATCCCATTCAACTCTAGGTTGTCCTCTCTCTTTCCATGTGCCTTACTCACATTTAGATCAAGGTGTGCTTATGCTCGTTCTGAATTTAAGTAGAGAAGGAAATCCTACTACTTCCACTTGATTTTCATTAACATTTTTATACACGTATGTCGTTTTTCTTCATGTCACATACGGAAGTTGCCATATTTTGTGTTTAGCTCTTCTTGGAATCCAGCCAGCATACCATGGGCAGACATAAGTCGGGCACTATTCTGAATTGAGCAACGATTTGCAGTTGGGCTCGGAGTCTTCTAAGCTAATATCACGTTTTCCTAGCCCAACAATATATTGTTTTTGGGGGTTAAGGTCTTGGTATTCATTTATTTCCTAAATAATAATTTGGTTATCAACTTAACAGTCTAGTACATTATCCCTTGAGTCACTATAAGTACCCTAAACCAACACTGCCTGTGTACCCTAGGGTTTAATTGATTCTTTAGTGAATAAGTACAATGTAATACATTGTAGTACAGGTGCGAACTAATGGGTTTCTTTTCTTTAACTACATAATCATCGCAAATACTAATAACAGAACAATTCTTGTGGGTATTCTCCTTGCAGTAGAATAAAGAACACCGAAACCCATTAATATCTTAGTGGACTTAAGTTTTATTATGTATGGGAAATAGCGTGCGCAATTTCTTGGTCTTGCCTTTTACATTTTTACCTTACTTCAGATTTATCCGTCCCTTTTCTTAATTGCCAGTCCTTTTCCCCCGATATGTAGCACAGCCATTTGCAAGCAGCCATCAGTGATGTAATGAAGTCTTTGTCTCATTAAAAATGTTCTAGTTTTCAGTTTCAGTCCAAAAACAATCACTTTATATTTGCATCTCATCCTCTCCTAGTTTATTTTGATAGTTCCTACTTTTTTGTATTTTAAGAGATTGTAGCTTATTTTAACCTGTGCTCCAAAATGATTAACTATAATTCTGTGCTCAGATTTCAGCCAACTGGACGTCAAGTCGGTATCCTGTATGTTTAATTTGCTTTTCAATTTTGGTCGGCTTTGTTCAGATGTTCGCTGTTGCAACGTATCTTGAGGATGTGCTTAATAATGAATGCTATGAACTTGATGCATTACTGTTGCATAGGATCCAGATCCCTCATTAGGCCATTCCAGTCAGTTGGTGGTGGTGTTTGTTTATGGGGGGGGGTCCAATTTTGTAGAGCTGACAAGCGCATGGGTATGCAGAGCTTGAACGTTTTGCTGGATCAGAACAGGATAAGCCAAACTGTATACATGACTTTTTTTATCAGCGTTTTCCTTTACACATACGGTACTAGATTTATACCACCCCACCCCCCCCCCCCCCACCACCATCTGTCAGATTATATCAGACATGCAGCTACACTGGACTGGGGTTAATGGCCACTCGTCTCAAAATACAACTCACAGCAATCACCACAGCAGCAAACTGCCAAATGACATTGCTCCGTGATCAAGATAATGCTAAATGATAAAGACACTGTGATGGTGTCGCAAGCTCCTGATACCAGCTCTGTAACTCAAGTCCCAAAAACGTGTAGTCTATTTACTTGACATTGCTCCAGCTTCAAATTATACTTCAACAAACTAGGCTAGCATGGTAATGTGATGCCAAGGCCTCTTGCCATCAAATTATAGTATGGGATTGCGTTTACAAATTGGCGCGTGACAAATTAAAAATAGTGTGACACAGTGTATTATGTGGCATCAATCTTGTATTAGGCTCAAAGATTTGCCCCACTTTATGACATTTAGTTGAATACTGTGTTCTGTGTTACATTTGTTACATGTACCTGTCACCAGAAAATGAGCCTGAAGTCAGAACTTTAAAGAATTGAGACGTTTTATTTTATGGATTCTGCAGAGGAAGAGCTTTTTAACGGTTAGGGGTACTGAGTTCAGGTCGGGAGCTAACGCCAACTAAATGGCAGTTTTAAAACTAAATTTTGAGAAAAGATACAATGGTTATTACAGTGAACGAACGGTCAACTAATAGGATGAAAGCAGGTTTGAAAGATGTAGAACAGTTCAGATTGAGGTTCACCTGAAAACGAAAAGTCGACCACCTCTTAAATTTTGGCTTTTCAAAAATGCAATTTTTCGCCTTGATGCTCATTTCTTGGTGACAGGTCGCATTTATGGGGTTTTTTTTCCTCGTCTCAACCCTTCCAAATGGAGAAATTGCGTTTATTTGAGATACCTGTACATGTAATGAATACCGAACCCCATTGGCATTTTGTGTGTTAATGTTTCTGTGCTGAAGAATGGTAAATATAGAAATGAACGTCCGTCAGGGAAACTCTTGATACATTGGAATTACTGCTGCCTGTAACTTGATGACAAGCGTCAGTTTCAATCTGTAATGACTGGAATGGCCTGGTCTGGCTTGAGTCTGCATTACACTTGTATCACCCTGCAACGGTTTGTGATGACATTGTGCAAGATTGAATTTCAATTGAATTTGATGTTGGGAAAGAAAGAGTTTTAGCTGGAACTATATGATGTGTTGGTAGTGAAATGCCACTTACATGTAAGCACTATGCCAAATATTTGGAGGAAATCACTAGACACCAAGTCAGCATGGTTGAGAATGTAAGAAATGTTCAAATGCTGTATTCCGGAGTGTGACATCACGAACACAGGTGTATATGTACATGTTTTGCATCTAAGACAAACTTGAATGGTTCTTTGCATGTTGGTATCAACACGTGAAACGTCAATATGAATTTGTGTGTACATGTACTGCATTACTACTAACCAAATATTCTTTGCACAGGATCAATCAAAAGTGAGAATTTGTCAAAAACAATTTTGATGTTGGTTGTTATTATTAGTACATGTAGTCCATTCTACCAAACTCTGCAAAATGGCCCTGTTAGAGTCATACTGCAACTGACAGATTCAGTTCATGCATAAATTAAATGACATTTTTGGACATGAATACTTAATGTTTATTGATTTAGGATCTGACCATGATTATACAAATACTGTACCGGGTACAGTTACAGAAATAGAAGTAGAAAAACAAATATATGGCTGTTAAACAGTGATGATGATTTTGTGGTACATTATTTTATCAAGACTTGATGAGACAGAAGAGAATCGTTCCTCGCGGTCACGGGCTCGTGCCCACAAGGAAAAAAAAACAACTTACTAACTGATATCAGCAGCAAAATAAACCATAGGTTATTATCTGCCCTGAAGACATGTAAACTGTGAATTGTGTGCTGTCCTGCAACATTGCTCATTGGACGTACATATTTCTGGAGTAGACATTTTTCAGACTTCCCCGAAACCAACTTTGACTGAGTGTGAGAGCAAGGTTATTTTGACCTTTACAGCTGCACCGGTCCTGTAACTGATCACCTAGCCGCTTGTTAATTAGATCACCAGGGATGAGCCCTGTGCATATACATGTAAGGGAAAGGTGCTGCACATGGCTGGTCATGTAAAGAGAAATAAAACCCCAAAGCATATGGCATCAGATGCTACACATGCTAATTATCTTTAGTATCTAGTAACAATAGCCCCATGGCATACAGCCCAGTAGCCATTTGTGTAAGCTGGTTGTAGATGACATTTTATCTGTGTGCGTGTGGCAGCTGTGTACATGTACATCACAATATATTGACAGTGTACTTGGAAGTTGGAAGTGCTGGTAGAAAAAACCGACAGAGCTTTGCTGGCTTGTCATTCTTGGATTTTGATGCAGGCAAGTCCTTTCTTTAACTTGTAATTTGGTTAACTCTGCACTATTTTTTGCCCAGATATCACGCCTGTGTGTTTTTAATGTCTTCTTCACAAGTTAGCTAAGTTGACAGACATCAGTGTCTGAAGAGATTTGAGTTGAAGATACCATTAACACTTCGGGCAAGAGTTTGGAATGAAAGAAATTCTTGTGAAGCTATTTTTTTTTTAGGGGGAATGGCAGATATTCCAACATGTTTAGACGGTGTAGTAATTAACTCCTTCTGTGTATGAATTCAAAGCATATGGATCAGGATAGATGAGTTCTGCTTGTCATGCTCATGGACATTTTGCGTTAATTGTAAATGAAAACAGTCTAGACTTTGAATAATGAATTCAACAGTACTGTACAGTTGTAGTGCAGTCA